AATCACACCTTCACAACAATGAAACTAAGGCTGTTAGTCTGTTAGAATTTAAAAATGAGACCTTTAAAACAATGAAACTAAGATGGTTAGTCTGTTAGAGTTGACAAATCACACCTTCACAACAATAAACTAAGATTGTGAGCCTGTTAGAGTTGATAAATCACACCTTCACAACAATGAAACTAAGACAGTGAGCCTGTAAGAGTTGACAACTTACAACTTTACAACAATGAAACTTAGATTTCCAGTCTGTTTGAGTTGACAAATCACACCTACACAACAATGAAACTTAGATTTCCAGTCTGTTTGAGTTGACAAATCACACCTACACAACAATGAAACTTAGACATACTAACACTAACATTTCTTTACTTTGGGTTTATACTGACATAAAACGAGAATCTTAGTAACAAAGTGTATGAACATTATGTACCGAAAAATACACGTTACTTTTCAATTCTTTTTAACGACATTGATAAGATTTCAATCTATTTTGTAAGAATGCTTTAATGTTTCAGAATATGTTAATAACTTTTGAAATATTGAGCTGGATAAAAGCTTTTTAAAGTATAGTCAGTAGTAATCGTGTGATTGTTTATATAATATTAATGATCATCTAACAGCTGAATCTATGTAAATATAATAGTACTGTCTGTTGTATGTCCACGTAACTACTTCGTAGGGTGTGGATGGATCTTTACCAAAATTAGTATGGAGGTTCATTAGGTTCATGCGGAGGTACATACAAATTTTCGGTTTTGGGGTTTTTATGGGCGTTTATGCATTTTCGAGTTTTTGCCACAACTTCGTCCCCTGTTGTTGTATCTTCACCAAATTTGGAGTGAAGGTTTATTGGGCCTATGCGGAGATACATGCAAATTTGCGGATTCACATTTTATGTTTTGTAGTTTTTATGGTCGTTTCGTACAATTACATATAGAGGAAGCCACTTTTCATGTCCCAAGATAACCTTTCATTAATCATGAGTTTACATACCTTCCTTCCAGGGGACGGATATTCCGGTTAGTAACTAGATATACTACTTTCAAAGTTAGGCTATTGGATGTGTCCACCGAGGGGAATCGAACCCCATATTTTAACTTTCTAACTCCGTAAATTTACCTCTGTCCCCCTCTAACATCGATACCAACTTTTCTTCTTACAAATAGATGGAGCCTTTATGGGAATGAGCGAAATTTCTCTGTAACTCGAGCGCTTTCGAAAGGTGGACCTTTCTAGTGTTCTAGTGTTAACTGATTTTTTTTTAGTATACGAGTTTTTCCTAACATCACGTCTGAAAGTATGTATACTTTTATTATTCTGGTTCCCGACAGCTCGGAAGTACATGGTACGTTGGTTGTCCGCAGTAATGATCTCGTAGTACCTCCCGTGACGCCACACATCATCCGTGGAAATAGCCTTCTGAGTCACGTGTAACCGAAGCAGCTGGGATAAATTAAAAAATAAACTTGGTCATTCATCATTCACAGATAATCTTTCAATGTTGCTCATTTTTTAATTTTTCTTCTTACAAGAAGCCCAATTATGAATGTTCTAAGTGAATGTTATCTGACTTTTTTAACACCATTAAAAAGCCAATATTAACATCATTAACAAGCTATTATTAACACCATTAACAAGCTAGTATTAACACTATTAACAAGCTAATATTAACACCATAAACAAGCTATTGTTAAAACCATAAACAAGCTAGTATTAACACTATTAACAAGCTAATATTAACACCATAAACAAGCTATTATTGACATCATTAATAAACTCTTGTTAATGCCATTAACAAAATATTGTTAACATCACTAACAAGCTATTTTTAACACCATTAACAAGCTATTATTAACATCATTAACAAGCTATTATTGACATCGTTAATAAATTCTTGTTAACGCCATTAATAAAATATTGCTAACATAATTAACAAGCTATTATTAACACCATCAAGAAGCTATTATTGACACCACTAACAAGCTACTATTAAAACCATTAACAAGTATTATTAATAATACCATAAACAAGCTATCCCCAGCATTATACACAGGGAAATAAAGTTTCATAACTTCAATACATTTAAACGTTTCCAAACCTTTTAATAACTGACGAATACATTCTGAATAGAGGAACTGTAACCTACGTTAGTGAGCTCCGTTTTGTTCGTTTTCAACATCGCCAGTTTTTCTGGTGCCACCCTTTGGATAGCCTCGTTGGTGGGTACAAACACTGTCTTCTCTACAGGACTGCGAATAATGAAATCAAAATCCGGTGATGATTCCTCAACCAATTGCATGTATTCCCTGGAATCACGTGACAAGAATTATTGTAACACGAGAGCTTTATTCCATTGTGTTTAAGCAGTCCTTGAAGTTACATAATTAAATGTGATGAAATTTATATTTCAATGCAAGTAAATAAATACATACATATGTAACTGAACTGTAAGTTTTGAATAAATTAAATTCCCTAAAACATATAAGAACGTTTTTCATGAACTCGGTAATAGTGAAAACACGCAGATATACTGTATGTACAATGTTCACCCACAACATATTTCATCAAATCGGATATAGTTATAGATTCACTGAGATGAGTAGAATACAACCACATATAACCCTAGTTTTATATAAACATTTCAATTTTGAAATTTCTAGCGAATGACGTAATAACAAGAGCTAGGAACGTGCACATCGTGATTTGAAATATCAATACTTTGCAAGAGATGACAAGAAAGATTCGTCTTATCCTGACATGAGATTAAAGTCAAGTTTTATAATTTAAAGTAGTGGTTCAGTTGGTCCTTCATGACTACTATTAGTTCAATACTTATTGACAAAAATCTCGTTGCATATTTATTATTTATCATCCAAACAAACAATAAACATTGGTTGAGATTTATACTAATCTTTGTGTTCTAAAGTTGATATTTTACTAATCTTTGTATTCTAAAGTTGAGATTTATTCTAATTTTTGTGTTCTAAAGTTGAGATTTATTCTAATCTTTGTGTTCTAAAGTTGAGATTTATTCTAATCTTTGTGTTCTAAAGTTGATATTTATACTAATTTTTGTGTTCTAAAAATGATATTTATACTAATCTTTGTGTTCTAAAGTTGATATTTATACTAACCTTTGTGTTCTAAAGTTGATATTTATACTAATCTTTGTGTTCTAAAGTTGATATTATACTAATCTTTGTGTTCTAAAGTTGAGATTTATTCTAATCTTTGTGTTCTAAAGTTGAGATTTATACTAATCTTTGTGTTCTAAAGTTGATATTATACTAATCTTTGTATTCTAAAGTTGAGATTTATTCTAATCTTTGTGTTCTAAAGTTGAGATTTATACTAATCTTTGTGTTCTAAAGTTGAGATTTATACTAATCTTTGTGTTCTAAAGTTGAGATTTATACTAATCTTTGTGTTCTCAAGTTGAGATTTATACTAATCTTTGTGTTCTAAAGTTGATATTTATACTAATCTTTGTGTTCTAAAGTTGAGATTTATACTAATCTTTGTGTTCTAAAGTTCAGATTTATACT